TCTTATTTCTTGCCTTTCATATCATGCTCTATTATTAAAACAAAGATGCTCATCATCAAAAATAAGATAAGGATGCTCCATTTCAGCTTGTGTATTTGTCAGAGGTTATTCCGCTGCAAGACTTTGGGGGTGAATAATAGAAAACCAATTTTTCTACCCATCACTGGCTGTTGTGTGCTTGCTTGAATAATTACATCTGACATCACTTTTGGAAAAGATACGCATTCTGCCTTGAGGCTATGTTTCCAACAGTTTTTATTAGATTTATTAAATCAAGCATGTGGATTCTTAACAATATACTAAATTTTGGGTGGGCTTAGGTAATGGGTACAGCCAGCCTGTTTAATCAGTTTCTAAACTAATATATTTTGCACACTTTGTGGGTTAATAACCAGTTTAAATGTGCTGGCTGCTAAGTGCAACCTATGCTTTTAAAAAAAACATGAATTGAGGGGAAAGTTTGTTTAGGACAGTGTTTCTCAACCTTGGCGACTTTAAGTCCTGTGAACTTCAACTCCTAGAATCCCCCAGCCAGCACAGCTGGCTGGGGAATTCTGGGAGTTGAAGTCCACAGGACTTAAAGTTGCCAAGGTTGAGAAACACTGGTTTAGGATATCCACAGTTTGTTTGAAAATAGTTTATGAAATTAAAAAGAACAGAGATAAATGTCCTTTTTCAGTAACACAAGATGTAAACGGTAAATCATGAGCCAACAGGCAAAACCAGAACCATCATTGTGCCAAATCTTAACTAAACAGAAAAATGAAAAGTTGAAACATTAAAAATATGTATCAAGCGGAAGAAACAGGATTAAGGGAAAAGGTAAACATGGTAACATGCTGTATGTACATTACTGAGATGCATTAAATTTGTTAGCATCATTGTCAATCCCCCCCCCCCCCAAACAGCTTATGCATACTACAAAAGAGAACAAAATGGAGGCAGGAGTAAACAGGATTGAAATAATTTCAATATTTTTTAAACTTAGAACTCCCACAAACCTCCTTTCGGCAATCCGTAGGTTAAAAATAAATTAAACAGAAGTGAAACATATCTGTATCAAAACAAACAGACAAGGCACCAGAAACCAATAGTAATCAATCATAAGATGGTCAACAGAGGAAAATTAATGTATGCATTACAAAGAGCAGAAGGGAGAAGTGGGCCATAGGAGGTAGCAGACATATATTAAGAAAGAAAATGAATTATTGTTGCTTCCGCCACAAATTACCTTGAACCCCTCCATATTTGGCAATGTAGTTCTTTTAATGGATAAATCAGATCGAAAATTCTGACCCAAGATGGAGGAGAGATCAGGTGGTAAACTGCCTATTACCAAAGTCCTCTGCTAATAGGTTACCTATAATGTGTAATTAATTAAGCTTAATGGCAAGCAAAAAAAAACAGATGGCAGAGAAAGGGATCATAGACACCCTTAGTTATTTATACACATAAAAAGTAAATAATGTGTATGCTAGGAATATAGATTAGTCTTAACACAAAAACTGTGTTTATGTCTGCCTCTGAGTCATACTTTCCTTGGAAATATTTGTCAGCCGTTTGCCACACCCTGCTTCCTAGGTGTGTGTGTGTGTGTGTGTGTGTGTGTGTGTGTGTGTGTGTGTGTGTGTGTGTGTGTGTGTAACAGGTAGTCCAAAGTTGAGCCCAACATTTCTGTTGCTAGTGAAACATTTGTTAAGTGAGTTTTGCCCCATTTTACAACTTCTCCTGCCAGTTAAATGTTAAATGAATATTTGCAGTTATTCAGTGAGTAGCAGGGTCGTTAAGTGAATCTGGCTTCCCCCATTGACTTTGCTTGACAAGAAAGTCGCAAAAGCTGATCGCATGACCCCGGAACGCTGCAACCGTCATAAATGTGAATCAGTTGCCAAGCATCTGAATATAAATCACGTGACCATGGGGCAGCTGCAATGGCCGTTAAGTGTGAAAAATGGTCCCAAGACACTTTTTCCAGTGCCGTTCTAACTTTGAATGGCCACTAAATGAACTGTTGTAAGTTGACAACTACCCGTATACGGATATATAAAGTGTGTGTGTGTGTGTGTGTGTAGGCAGTCCTCAACTTATAACAGTTCATTTAGTGACGGTTTGGTTACAGCAGCACTGAAACATGTGATTTAGGGCCGTTTTTTCACACTTAACGACCTCTATAGCATCGCTGTGATCAAAATTCAGAGACTTGACAATTGATTCATAGTTTTACGATGGTTGCAGCATCCTGGGAGTCATGTGATCCCCTTTTGCCACCTTCGGACAAGGCAAGTCCATGGGGAAGCCAGATTCACTTAACAACCACGTTACTAACTTATCCACTGCAGTGATTCACTTAGCAACTGTGACAAGAAAAGCCGTCAAATGGGACAGAGCTCACTTAACCGATGTCTCATTCAACAGCAGCATTTTTAGTCTCAATTGTGGTTGTAAGTTGACTACCTGTGTGTGCATGCATATATGCATATATATTACTCACCCACCCACCCACACGTATTCTCTCTCTCCTCTCTCTATCTATATACACACACACACACACACACGCACACAGATGTACATTTATACACACATATTATATATACCCATACATGTGTATGTATACACACACATTTATACTCACTCTATATATACATATACACACACACATATGCATACACAGACACACACATTATATATATACCCATACATTTGTATGTATACACACATTTATACTCACTCTATATATACATATACACACACATATGTACACATGCATATATATATATTTATACACACACATATTATATATATATATATATATATGATGATGATAGCAGTTAGCTTCCTCCCATAATTGGGGCTTACCAGGGGTTGTAAAAATCATATATATATCTATATATCTATATCTATATCTATGTGTGTGTGTGTGTATGTTTTATTTGTGCTGATAAATATATATCTAATATATATTTATATCTAATATATATATATATATCTAAATACACACACACACACACACACACAAACACACACTCTCACTCTCTCTCCACACATACATATAACATTATATATTTCTGGTGTGTTGTGTATAGGTATCAAATGTTCAGAGCTGCCCCCCCCCCCCTTCTCACCTGCTGGTATTATTTACATTCTCTCTGGGGGGGGGGAGTCTCTTCCTTTCCCCTCCACCCTCAGCCAGGATGGAGACCCTCCTCTAAGGGGGGGTGGGGCTAAACCCACTTTATACGCCCCCTGCCCGCCTCAGCCTTCGCAGCTTTTCCGCCTCCTTCACGGCAGGGAACCAGTAGCCTCCCTCCCAACCCGTCATGCCCCCCACCCCTTCTATTCGCGCGCCCGTCTCTAAGGCAGCCGCGACCGACCGAGGGCAACAGGTGAGCCGGGCGAGGCGGGAGCGCGCACGCCCCTCCCCACGTTACCTGACGGGCCAGCCGTGCGCGTCCCCGCGCCGTTCGAAGCGCCGCCGCGCTCTCCTGAGGGAGGGGAGAAGGGTTAAAAAAAAAAAAAACTGTCGCCGCGCGCGCGCGAGCACGCATGCGCGCAGGCTCCCCCGCGCGGCCGTTGGGTTTCGAAACTGGCTCGCGCTCCGAGGAGGGCCACGCCCACCGGCCTCGGCCACGCCCACCCCCTTGGCAAAGCCGAGCAGCTGCCCCGGGAATGTTGGCTCTGGGGATGATGGGCGTGGTAGTCCGCGGAGGAGGGATACGCGCCCTTTTGGGGCTGGAGCCACAGCTGGGGTTGGTGTCACAAGCCAGGATCAGCCCCCTGAAGTCCACCTGGATCCCAGGGTGGCTTAGCGAGAAGCCACATGTGCCTGGTGTGACCTGGACCTTTCCACCGAGTCCACAACTAGCTTAAGCCGAGTAGATGTGATCTTGGTTTGTGCGAAGCCATCATTTGGCTGAGTTTGGGCAAGGATCCTATCCCATCATCCAGTGTTTTAATGAACCTAATTGATGGGAAGTGGTGTGGACTTCAACTCCCAGAATTCTCCAGCTGCTGGCCATTGATTCCCTAGCTGGGGAATTCTGGGAGTTGAAGTCCACACCTCTTCCAGTCGTTCAGATTAAGAAACACTGGTTGATGGGATAGGATCCTTGCCCAAACTCAGCCATAAATGATGGCTTGGCACAGAGTACAAACCAAGATTCCCTGGCTGGGGAATTCTGGGAGTTGAAGTCCACACCTCTTCTGGTCACTCAGATGAGACAAATATCACCTTAAGCCATGATTTATGACTCACAGTGGCTGGTCTACATTTTACACCACCACATCCCATGATTTGGCTTGATTCACTTATAACTCCATAATTTACGTAACAACTGCAGTGATTCACTGAACTGGCAAAAATGTAAAATCAGGCGCGAGACACTTAACCTCGCTTAGCAAAGGAAATTCAGGTCCCAATTGCAGTTAAGTCGAGGATTACTTGTATCGTGGTATCAACTTCCTCCTAGGAGGTGTTAGCACAGGCCATTTTAACTAAGGAACTGATTAATGGATTCAAATAAAAAACAGCATTCAATTTACAGATAGTTTGAATTCTCACAAGGGGCCAGGTTGAACCCTGGGGTTCTTTTTCCTTTTCTTTAAACAAATAGCAGAGAGATGTCAACCTTTTGATATTTAACAGAATTTTGCTGTGCTCAGTTTTGAAAGAAACACAAGTAATAACCTCTACAGATACCAGTACCTCTATTTATCATCTTTTGGCAGTTCAGGTGATTCTGTCACTGGGAATTTCTTCTGGAGATTGCCGGTACTGATAATGTAAGGGTCTGACTTTCTTTTTTTCGTTTTTCCACTGAAAACTCTTATTATTTTACAAGACAATGCAGTCTTATCTTATCAGCTTTTCTCCTGATCATCTGAACTTGTGTTTATGCATGGTTTTAAATCTTTGCAAAATGCAAAGCAAGAAAAATAGGTCCATGCTGGAAAAGAGAAGCAAGTAAAGGAATTTTCTAACCACTTAGCAACACCTCAGGGTCCTCAATACATAAGAATTTATTGGTGTTTAAAAGGCTTAGAAATATCTTGCATTTAAAATTACGGCTATTTTCTGAATGTCTGGCTTGCAATCCAGAAGCCACAATCTTTTCCCTCCATGTCCGAGACAGAGTTTATAGGGACACAATTATTTTATCACAAAATGTAAAGCTGTATTCGGAAATCAAATGGCAACATTCAAAATATCGTAAGAATGAAGAGCATGAATTAAAACCAGAGCAATTAGCGAAAGCACAACCAACGAACACCGAAACTCATTTTATAAAGACTCTGAGAAAGAGCTAACTTCATTAATAATCCATTTGAAACTTCTTATCAAAACCTGTTCTCAAATTATGTTTATATACAACTCTGCTCTTATTTCATCATAAATCAAGGTACTATAAAAACATACTCAGGGTGGCATTTAGATTTGATACACACCATGAATTTCAAGACAGAGAGACAAATTCCCTGCTTTTTGCTCCTATGGCTGAGTATCTAGTATCACATGCCAGAAATGGGTTCAAGCTAGTGTTAATTTGATAAAAACTATCCATTTTAACAATGTTTGCGGAATAAAAGGGCTTTCACTCTGTTAGCTGTGGATCATTCAAGCTACATATCAGTTTGTCCTAGCACATTGCCATTTCGTTCTTTAAACTTAACCACAACAATGTTAGTTTCAGGATTGGCAGCAATAAATATTATTGAAGGTGGATTGTTGTTGTTTTGCAGTATTCATGAATGCAAGGAGAATGTGAATGCTTCTTCCAGCTTAAAATGTCTCTGTTTATTGAAGTACCCCTTTTCTGGGGAACAAATGGAAAGGTTCCCATTTTTAATTAATTAAGGCACCATTAATTAAGGCCCACCGAGGCATTTAGGACTCAGAATAGCTCCATCCCGTTGATTCAAGGTGGAGAAGCAGCTGGTCACAATAGATTGGAGTGCGATGTTTGTGTACGACTCCTTCGATTTCCTTCGCCAAGAGGTCTGGATAAAGAACGCCCCCTTCTTTCAAAGTGTCTGCAAAACAGAAAGTGGCCGGAGTTATGAAAACGGCTTGGGCTTCAAGGCATACAATTTCTCAAAAACAATTTTTGGAACACCGGAATTTAAGCCATAATTATTTCCTGAAAGGTTGCCACTAGGAAGTTGGAAGCGATGATCAAGCTACGTCAAAAGTGATTAAGTAAATTTTTTTTTAAAAAAAATCTCAGGGAAAGCAGAGCTTATTGAACGGCAATAATTACCTAAAACAGCCGATTGGATGTTTTGGTCGGGGTCATCCAGGTGAACTAACAGCTCTTGGTAGAGGACCTGAATGTTGGTTTTCAGAAGAGCTTTTGTCTCCGGGTCGTTTATACATCTGAACCAACTGGTCAAGGCCGCAGCGGCTTCCAAACGGACATCGTGCGAGACGTCATCCAAGCGCTTCAAGAGTTCTAAATAAGAAACAGCAGGGTCATTTCCCGGACTTCGTGAATATTCTCTGCACAATTTACGTCACAAGGACATTGCTTCCCACTACGGCAATGCAGGGAAACCAAACATCTTTAATAAATCTTCCATTCATTTCCCTCAGTTTTAACTCTTGCATTTTTATAAAACTGCTTAACTTAAAACCAAAAAAACGCAGAAAAAAGGTTACGCCAACGACCATGATTCTTAGTTGAAAAGCTTTGACAGAATAATTTTCTGTTAAATGATGCATTTTTAGCCTACGTATTGAATTAGTCGCTGCTTTTCCTCATACAGTCCTTTATATGTAGGAAATTAAACCGAAACACGATGAGTTATCAAATGCTACTGTGAATATTGCAAGAAAAATTACTTGATATGTTTGGCTATGACAACAATGGTTTTTTCTCCTATATTGTGTTGTTACTTCAGCCACAATTTAGCAGACCAGAAAGGGGTGGGGTGGGGGAGGAGGAATGTATCTAGCAACTGGAGTGACTCTCAATCTGTGTTTTTCAAAGTTGTCAAGTTTGAAAAACAGTCTTACTAAACAGCCAGGTTCTCATTCCAGGGAAAGGTAAAAAGATTGAACCAGGCCTGCTGCTTATCCCTCTAAAATACCTGGATAAATTTTGCTGAGTTCGGGCTGTTTTCTGCAGCTGTCTAAAAAAGTCCTGATAATTTGGCAAGATATCAAACGGGTCATTTTGGAATCTTCTTCCAGCGTCACAATGATCGGAGGCATCAGGGCATCTTTGACATTTTGCAACTGTGAAAACAAGAAACCACCAGATTTAGGGAAAAGACATTTGTTAAGTAATCGGCATCTGGCGTTCGACTCATGATCTCAAGCCAGATCTGTTATAGAAAGAACACAACATAACCAGCTAAATGTAAGAATTGGGGCAAAGATTAAAGCAGACAATTTAAAGAAAGCATCCTTTTAGCAGCCATAAAGGTAAAGGTTTCTCTTGCACATATGAGCTAGTTGTTCCTGACTCTAGGGGGCGGTGCTCATCTCTGTTTCAAAGCTGAAGAGCCAGCGCTGCCCGAAGATGTCTCCGTGGTCATTTGGCCAGCATGACTAAACGGCAAAGGTGCACGGAACGCTGTTACCTTCCCACCAAAGGTGGTCCCTATTTTTCTACTTTTGGGGGGTGGGTGTGTCTTAAGTAAATAGATTCCTTGGGTTGAGCAAGTACAGCAAGGACAAAGGCAAAATGGATTGCTAAATTGGCCACGCCCCGTCACATGACCACCCAGCCACGCCCACCCAATAGGTCCGCACCCCCTCCCCAAGTGTGAGGGACCGTGAATCGGCCCCCTGTTCAAAAAGTTTGAGGACCCCTGGTATATAGTATAATTTTATAGGTTCCTCCTTGTTTGAACCAACGTTCAGCGAAAAGTTCCTTGTTTTCACTGGCAGGAAAAGATTAGCAAAGGATACAGGAAACAAAGGGGAGAAGCATGCAAATTAGCCAGCTCATATTTAACTGGAATTTTATTGCACTGGGTGTCCCTACTGCTTTTTCCCGCCCTTCTACTTTGTTTAATAGCTGTAGAAAGTTCAACTGTGAAACGACAACGCAAGGTCAAAAGCACCGCACAGCCCCAAGAGAGGGACTCGCAATTATATTTCTCAGATTGCATCAGTCACGGCGCTGCACAGAGGATGACTTTGGAGCCGAGAGTTTTAAGAACAGCGCGTGATACCGTGCTGGAAGGAAAGACAAAAACAAACAATTTCCCACTAATAATATTGGAATGGATAACTAAATAAATACAGGTGAGACCTTTGCCTAAAGTAATTCTCAGCCTCCTCAAGGTCGAGAATATTTTTTTCTGTTTTTCTCAAGAGCTGCCCTTTCCACATTCTGAAATCCAAACTGCTCTGATTTCTGCAGATTGTGCGTGATTTTTGTAATCCAAGGAAGCTAATTTAATAAGCGTCTTATCCTCTTACCATTGGAGAGGTTTGGAAAGGGTGACAAATCGATTCAAGTTAGCATTTCGTTCTTACTCCAGGAGATGGTGCTCCTGGTCCAAATTTCTGTGCAACGTCCCACCTCAATCTTGCCTTGCCTACTTGAGCTATCAAATATATACCTGCCGTTCCCCCCCCTCCCTTACTTTCTCTTGCCTCCTCTGTCCGTCTATATTCTGCCTGCTTTGTGTTCAAATTGATTCAAAGTTCTGAGTAAGAAATCGAAAATTTGCACTAATGGAAAATCCCGAAAGCCGTGCGTACCTCGCGGGGTTCTGAGCCTGCTCTTCCAATGATTTAGTCTGACAATTCAGTCAATATTACTGTCTTGGCTGTAAGCAGTCACAATATCCAAATCTCAACAACATCACTACTTTCCTCTGCAACAGACCACCCAAATGGCGAAGGAGAAATGCAGAAATTCCCCCTCCACGTGCTTTCTACTGGAGGAAAGTTTCTAGGATAGCTGCAGGATTTGCAAACCTAGTTTCTCTTGGGACTCTCTAGTAAGAATCCTAGAGGTTGAAGCCTGACATCAATTTTTGAAAGCCAAGTTGACTTAAGTCGAACCAGGCCACCTCAAAGCTTGTCCTGCTGTAAATTACACGTTGTTGTTTTTTTTTGGTCCTTTGAATCAGGATCTCTCAGCGGTCCAGGTCTGCTTGGTCACTCCTGTGTTAAAAGGTTGTTTTGTGCCTTTTAAAATACTGGATTTTTCCGGAGGATTTAATTGGATATAAGATGTGTATCAGTCAGCCTAATGGCCGGGACTCATTTCGCCAGACGTTGAAAAGTGAGAGCAGGTTGACTTTCTCACTGAACAATGGGATAGAACCAGCTCCAGCCTTTGAAGTTAAAAGGAGATTAGAAGCTTGCATTTTTCTCCCCCAAACAAAAAATGCTCAAATTTCAAACAAACTCCCAGCCCAACACATCTGAGGGTTTCAGACTTTTTTTGGGGGGGGGGAGAGGGGGGGAGTTAAGACACCATTCTTTCCTTGTTGGCTTGCTGCTGACTCCTTTTTACCTCTAGCATAGCTTTTATTTTTGGGCAGAATCCCAGGCTAACCTATCCTTCCTAAGCACTATTTTGGCAAGGCTTTAAAAATCATTTTAATTTAATTTCGTAAGCTCACATGTTGCCCAGCTTATTGTAGATTCCAAAAGGCTTATATCCAACCCCCCTAAAAAAAAAAGAATTAAAAGCAGCAGCAACCTCCAACCTCATCTCAACCCTAGAGAGCCAGCCCCCTTATTTGGCACCTGCTTTAAAGGCCACCCCCTGCACTGAAAAAGGCTCCTTGGTTTTAATGCCCCTCTGGAACAACAGGAGGGAAAGGGGTCGGGAATGGCTGATCAGACTGAGCTATAAAGGCCTGCTTCTGTCCTCCCTCTTCCTTCTTAGCCTGATGCTGGCAGCTTCTGTGGCAGTTGCTCCCAGCTGGGATATTCCAGATCAGGGATGTCCAACCTTGGCAACTTTAAGATCCATGAACTTCAATTCCTAGAGTTCTGGGAGTTGAAGTCCACAAATATCAAACTCAATAAGATTGCTGGCTTGTGAATTCTGGGAGCTGAAGTCCCCAAGTCTTCAAAGATGCCAAAGTTAGTGGCTGGGGAATTCTGGGAGTTGAAGTCCACAAGTCTTAAAGTCACCAAAATGGCTGGGGAATTCTGGGAGTTGAAGTCCACAAGTCTTAAAAGATGCCAAAGTTAGTGGCTGGGGAATTCTGGAAGTTGAAGTCCCCAAGTTTTAAAAGATGCCAAAGTTAGTGGCTGGGGAATTCTGGGAGTTGAAGTCCCCAAGTTTTAAAAGATGCCAAAGTTAGTGGCTGGGGAATTCTGGGAGTTGAAGTCCCCAAGTTTTAAAAGATGCCAAAGTTAGTGGCTGAGGAATTCTGGGAGTTGAAGTCCACAAGTCTTAAAGATGCCAAAGTTAGTGGCTGGGGAATTCTGGGAGTTGAAGTCCCCAAGTTTTAAAAGATGCCAAAGTTAGTGGCTGAGGAATTCTGGGAGTTGAAGTCCACAAGTCTTAAAGATGCCAAAGTTAGTGGCTGGGGAATTCTGGGAGTTGAAGTCCCCAAGTCTTAAAAGATGCCAAAGTTAGTGGCTGGGGAATTCTGGGAGTTGAAGTCCCCAAGTCTTAAAGTCGCCAAGTTTGGACATCCCT